TTTATTATTAATGTATCGTATAATGGAAAATGTGGTCCGCCGTATAGTTCCGGAGATACCCTAGTTTAACGAAACGTAATTAATTAATCTTTCGCCATTTTCAACCCCTCAGACCCATTGCAAGTCAACGAAACTTCAGTGGCATGTTCTGTTCTTTATTATTAATGTATCGTATAATGGAAAATGTGGTCCGCCGTATAATTCCGGAGATACGGTAATTTAACGACACGTAATTAATTAATCTTTCGCCATTTTCAACCCCGCAGACCCATTGCAAGTCAATGACCCTTCAGTGGTATCTTCTGTTACTTATTATTAGCGTATCCTATATTGGAAAATATGGTCATCCGTGTCCTCACATATCTACAGTGATCTAACGAACATGAATTAATTAATCAATTGCCATGTTCAGTCCCTCAGACCCATTGCAGGTCAATAAGTTCATAAATCTTAAATTGGTGTAGTCTTTACCTCATTACTAACCTACCGTGTAGAGAAATATATAGGTCATAGCAACACTCGTAAGATATATTAATTTCATAGGAATTACCGCCGAGCGCAGCGTTGCCTATGGCCAACGTACGCTACTGACGCTTCGGTTATCTTCGTGCGTTTCGGCTGCTATCTTGGGCTGCTGTTTTCACACCGGTGAAAATGTTTCAGTACCTACCTTAATGAAATTTCTTATAAATGCAGTTGGACCTTGTTCAGACCCACGCGAATAAGGAGCACACACATTATATGAATGTTTAAAATCTAAGAAAAATTCAAGTGGACAACAACAAGGTTTATACAGGGTGTATGCAAATTTCACCGACAACGTTTGACTGCATATTCATGACGATAAATAAATACGATCTACGCAATAATAGTCCAAAGTTATTAATTAAATTAGTTTTATTTTTTGCAACTCTGAAGGCCTATAAAACCAAAATGTTATTTAACTTTTTTTTCTCGTATATCGTATTTATTTATCGTCGTGAATATGCAGTCAAACGTTGTCGGTGAAATTTGCGGACACCCTGTATAAAATCTAAATCTAAATTATATTGTTAGTAGTAAAAACTATTAAAATTTAGAGATAATATTCAGGACAATTAAAATTTTCCCCGTTCTCTGCAAGCGCAACACAGTTATTTTATTTAAGAGCTCTGCTTACAAAAAAGTAGTAACGAATGCGGTTTTATCCACAGTATTACACAACAAAATAATGATATTAAAAAATCATTTGTTGACATTAGTGGTTTAATAAAAACAATATATAGAAAAGACAAATTTTACCTGGTAACGGAACAACTCAAAATAAGAAAATAATAATATTTTAAACTCATCTCTTATAGCCTTAGACCACAGACAATATAGCGTATCGCTACAGACTGCTACTTAAATGCTGGAAATTGGCAACCCGAAATGGAAGCAGGGTCTCCTTAGCCGGCTTCCAGCTATAAAATTTAGCGTGGTAACTCTTCTATTTGGTAATAGGCGGCAGTTCCAGCGGTGGCTTTGTTGCCACATAATAATTGCTAAATAAATTTAATGCTTTCAATTATGTAATTAAAGAGATATGGAACTTATCTTCTGTTTGGAAATCACATTTGTCTTAAATGTTAAATAAAATAAATCAAGTTACAATTAAAACTATGAATTTACCTAATTAATTATTTATTTTATATAACCTTGGAATGGGAAAATTCAAAAACTCGAAAGTAATGTTTTTAGATTTGTGCGTCAACTTCCAAGATGGTACGATATTAACACCTTTTTTTTAAATTGCATTATACAGGTTGTGTATCCTTAGACGGGTACTGCTCTCTTATTGTTGATTTCTTTAGATAGGTAAAATAATTATTGACACGAGCGTTGCATATCATGGATGCCATTGGTAGTGCTCATATTTGTGACACAAGGTGTTCAAAAAAATTAACACAGTGTAAAATTTCTGGAATCTCAAGGAGTAGTTGAATACGAAATTTATTTAAAAAAAAAACAACAAATCATCAATCAATACAGAGATAAGATAATGCGTTCGCTACTGCTGTTGCAATTTTTGACAAACTTTTTTGTTTTTCGACATACTGGCTTCGGACCGTTTCCAGTCAACGCAGAACGGACAATCAGGACCAGAGTAGTGGGGAGATTTTTTTAATTATTTTTCAATTCAACGCACTGTTTTCGAATTATAAGACCTTTTTTACTGTATCACTTCACACACCTCTTCTTTCCGGAATTTATTTTCCACATACGGACTTCGGACCTTTTCCATTCAACGCAGAACTAACACACAGAACCGGGGGTGTGGGGAGAATTTTTCAATTATTTTTTCGATTTTACGCACCGTTTACGAGTTTTTACTATAACACGACATACCTCTTGTTTTCAAAATTTATTTTCGACATACGGACTTCGGGCCTTTTGCATTCAACGCAGAAGGAACATACAGAACCCGGGAGGGAGGGGTTGACATTTTTCAATTATTTTTTCGATTCAACGCACCGTTTCCGAGTTATAAACACTTTTTTATCCTATGATGTCACACACCATTGCTCCCGATTTTTTTTTTGACATGCGGGTTTTGACGTTTTTCACTGGTTTACCATGGGAGATTTATTTGTTCACCATGGGAGATTTTTTGATACTTAGAGTCTAAGCAAATACTGTTTCTTTTTCCAACCAAGGGGAAATTTGTTTATATTTCCAGCCATTTCCGAGTTACGAGCAAAAAGCGTTTTTTTCTTATACTGTGTGACATCATAGATCAATAACGAAGACTAAAAAGGCCACGCGCTCTACTCCACACTACCTCCTTAGGTGTCCTGAAATTGCTGGGGAGACTCCTGAAGCCAGCAGAGAGAGAGAGAGAGAGAGAGAGAAGCTCTCTATGAGGACAAAGTCACTCTATCTCTATCGCACACTATAACTTTATCTCTCTCGCACACAATCAGATAAAAACGACAGAAACGAACCTTCTTTTAAAAATACATGGGATTTATCATTATTAGAATAACCCATTTTAATTTAANTTTTTCAAGCCTGTTAGTATGTATCTGGTAGTAAGGGTACCATATAAGGCTGCAGTATTCTAATTTAGAACCAACTAATGAGTAAAACAGACACTTCAATGCAGTAACGTCATTAAAATAACTTAATTTCTGATTATAAAACTCAAAGCTCTATTAGCCTCATTTATCATTGCATTGATATGATCAGTGAAGGACAGTCTATTGTCAAATATTACACCTAAATCCTTAACATTATCGCAACGTGCTAGTAACGCATTTTCAAGGGTGTAGCTAAATATTAACAGTTCTTTTTTGGATATAAACGAGCAGACCTTACACTTATCTATGTTAATAGGTAATTGATTATTCTCACACCATCTACTTACAAGATCTACCTGCTCTTGCAATATTAAACAATCTTCCAAATTAGATACATTGAGAAACAGCTGCAAATCGTCGGCAAAAAATAGATGATTAGATTTTAAAGACAGAGATAAATTATTAATAAATAAAATAAAAAGAAGTGGCCCTAAATTTGACTCTTGGGATACTCCAGATGTAGCTATAAAATTTTCAGATTTAAATCCGTTGTATGAAGCATATAGCTCACGTTGAGAAAGATAGGATTTAATGAGAAGAATCAGATTATCGTTTAAGCCAAATAAAGTTAACTTATTAAGAAGTATGCCATAATTAACTTAATCGGACCGTTAATCCGGACCTCCACACACTCCACTTCCCCGCAATTTGGCCTCACCAGTTCACTTTGGGATAGGAAACGTACAATCTAGGTGCTCTGTGAAAGTAACACATAAATAGGTATTCGGACTTGAATGAATGTTGAGTAACGAAAAAGCAGGTAGAATAGTAAGAAAGGGAACCTCAGAACCTTTATAGCTCGTAAGCCTGCTAATGTAATACCAAAGGTATTACGTGGCTCATAATTGAGTAGATGGTACTACACCAATCACATTGGATGCAAGAATTCAGCAAATTGATGGTCACAGAGCCATCGATAAAATTGCCTGCAACTGCCAAGTTAAGTCGGGTGCATACGTATAAATTAATTACTTATTAAATATTTAGGCTGCCCAAAATATTTTTAATTTGATACCGTTGTCTATCTTTTGTTTAATGCAGGGCAAATTCTTAGTGCATTTTTCTACTATTTATAGGTCTGTTTTACTACTACTACTACTAAAAATAGGTCTGTTTTATACCGTTTTATAGGAAATAGGCAACCAGGAATACAGTTCGATGTGTGTCTTTAATATAATATTAACCGTTAACTGATGCAACTATATATTCAGTAGTAGAGCAGCAGAGTAGCAGTTATAATTTAAACTCACGATTATATATAAAAAAAAATAAATATATACAAATATAAATAAATAAATGAATTAATTAATGAATGAATGAAAGAATGCATAGATAAGTAAATAAATAATAGAAAATAATACAAAAATCTTTATGCACATGAATAGTTCATTTGCATCGGTTCTTCTAAGTTTTCTTGGCTTAGTCACAAACTCACAAAGTGAAGGAGGGGCTTTTATTAGTGTTATATCTAACTGCAGCAATATATTTTAAATAATAACATCATATTTGCCTATCCAGATAGATTAGATAAGATATATTTTTCCAATCTATTATTAAAATATAATTTTGTGTCGATGTTTCACTAGACCAAAGTTTGAAAAATGAAAAACTTGTCGAGTAGTTTGTCATATGGTAATATAAAGCGTTCTAAATTAAATTGGACGTTTGAATGGTAATATGTATTTTTTTTAGACTATTACTGGAGAGATTATACAGGTGAGATACCAGGAGACGCTATCGAAGGTGGACGAGACGTAAATAACAAGGTAACATATATCGGTCAGGTTTTTGTTAAAAATCACGGACTTATTCCGGTTACAATATATCCAGGCAAAACATCTGTCGCAGCGGCTATACATGGAGTACACAATTTCAATAACCACATAAAAGTAAGTACATATAGTCGGTTGGAATAAATATCACTAAATGTTTTGAGTGGTGTAAGAACATATAATGTGTTTGGGGAATTCCCTTATTTAATCTGGCGCCAATCACATGAAAATCATTAAGAAAAAATTTTTATCTGCGGATAAGATAAGTGACCTAAATAAGTCAACGTCACTATCTACTATCGTGTAAATTTAAACGCAATTTCTTTATTTTAGAAATTATTGCTTTGAACAAGTATTAAGGGTTAAGTGCAGATGTAAAATAATATGCAAAACAGATATGACATGCAAAACGTAAAAAATAAAAATAAAATTAATTATTTTTTACAGTAAACCCAAAAATAAACAATGTTTCAATGATGTTTTTTGTGTTTTTTTAATTTCNTACTCTAATTATAGGCAAACATTTGTTAAGTTATTACATAAATCTGTCAGCAGGTCTGGCGGAAATACTGGGAAATACCGTGAATAGGATTTCCAGAATTTCAAAAACTCAGATTTAATTTAAAAAAACGGACTCCACTTTATTTTAAAAATAGAGAATTTTTGAGTAATTATTTTTTAAATTTAAAATAAAATATTTCTTATAAATTAAATTTTATATATTAATCAATTATGAAAATTTAAAAAATGTCAATGACGTAGGAAGATTCCTATTGCAATAATTTTTCCAGGTTCTGATAGTTAAACTGCATTTAAAATTATATTTATTATATTTAACAAAAAGCTTCTACTTTTTTTTTGTGAAACAAATGGTTTTAGAGTTACTTTAGATTTATTTAATTATGTCAGAATTAAACGCACTTATCCAATATGATGCCTCCCAGCATCTTCGCCAACGATTTGTGTAATTAAAAATTTGTACTCGTAAGTTTCATCAATCTACGTCAAATACTTTGTATTTTGAAAATAATCAAAATAATAATCAAGTGATCTATAACCAGATCATATTCAGTTTGGAATATGATCTGGTATTTGGAACACAGATTTCAGTAGTTTTAAGGTTAAAGGTTTTTTTTGTGATGAGGAGTCATTTTTTCCTTCGAAAGGAAAATAGAATTACCTGATTTTCTGACGTTTCTAAAAATTTACGGCATTTATGTGGAAAAAGATGTTCAGTGCTTGGTGTTTTTGTCGAAAAACATCATCTCCATGTGATTATTTCCCTACAAAGTATAATTTAGTGATAAATCGTTCTTATTCTGACTGCCTATCATCACGTATAGTATTGAAATAAACATATTTTAGAATCAGTTTAAGAAATACATACATTCCTTAAAATAATGCAAACAGCGAGTCCCAGTTTTTCATGAAAAAATGATGCTAGTTTGTGATATTGCCGAGCACCAAAATCAGAATGTGACAAAATGTCATGTTTTGAGAAACCAAAAACATAAACTTTAGATCTATGTTAAATAATTCCATGTAAAGAGGTACATACTAGTTGTAAGTGGAAGGTATAATCCTTTGTTATCACTCAATATTACCAAAATGCATTTGCAGTAAATTCACCCGAACTTTGATCTTTTTTCAGACGCTTTCAGTGTCCTTGGATAGAAAACAATAATCAGGACTTTAATAAGAATGTTCCATTTCTGCAGAAAAGCAAATTAAAATAGATAATGATTATGAAAAACGTATAATTTAAAAATAAAAAATAGTATATTAATTTAATTGTTTGATTATTATTTTATTACTAACAATTCCTGATATTTATCTAAATATAATCACTGTAGGTAATTTATATGCCTTTATTAGTAGCAATGTGTTATGTTATAAATAATACAGCCTTAGAATCATTTAATGTATTAATGTATTATTGTTTTGTGATAATGTGGTCATTATTTAGATCTATTATTTATTATCTTATTAAGAAACTTGTATAATCAATATGATAAATGACATTGTGTAAGTAAAGTAAAATAATAATTATTATTGTTTGTTTGTTTTAGATCCTGTGCAGTTCCTCCAAACAAAATTTCAAATGGGTTCCCGCAGATGCGAAAACTCTCCACGCAAAAATGATTAAGAAACATTTAGTACGGGGTGGAGTGGAACATGACTTAATAAGCAATATCGGCAGAATATCGTATCAGGGTGAGGTAATAGTCTCCAAAGTTTGTGGCTATAAAGTTGGAGATGCTAAACTCTATTTTCCTGCTGGAAATAAAGAAACAAATGTTGAATCCTATGAAGTTTTGATGTATGATAATTAATTAGATTGAATTAGTTATTTATTATTGTTTTCATACATACAGTAGTTTATAAATAAAATGTTAAGGCTTCAATTAATTTCATCTTATTTATATTTACCTATTCACATAATACAAAATCTGAAACGTGCAGTATAGAGCCTTCATAAATGCTTACAAGTCACGTGACCACCGAGTTTAGGTAACCCTACATTGCACGACTGATACTGATAATGAAAAATCTCTAAACCTTAGTGTCATCAATATTAACAATTCCTTTACAATGAACAATGACAAACCGCTACATCTACGTTCAAGAAAATGCGATCGCTGATTGGTTGAATAGAATCTCGTGAAAAGTTACTTAATAGTGTAAGTTTCTAACTACGAAATGAAGCTCTGGAAATGTATTACCTTTCAGGGGATTTTGAGAGAAAAGCAAAAAGTGAAAATATTTGAATACCTAAGCTGTTGCTTTATCTATTTATCTCTTCAATTCGATAATTTGAGTTTTTACATTATAAATTTATTTATTTATTTATTTGTTTCGTTAACGAAATTGGATATGTGTCATCAGAGTTACAATATAAGTTGATTTAAGTAATAATAATGCGCAAATACTTATTATTTTAATCAAGTTGGCCTCTTTGTATAAGCTTTATAAAATGGTTTCAAAATAATTCTTACCTTGAAAGAAATAGTAGCAAATAATTAAATTTTTAGAATGCTTGTTTAATAATTCTAATATTAAGTAGGAATTTAATAAAAATCCGTTGAATGGGATATAATTAGGTCAACCAGTGGAGGAAATACTTCAACTCAGTATCACTAAAGGTTCCTTTTCAAATAAGATAATCAAGTAAATCTTTAACAATTGTAGGTATCTTTTTTATCAACACATCATAAATAACATTATTATTCGTATCTTTATTGACGAGATAACAGTTCACTAAAAATTTTGTAATTATCAAATTCTGAATTTTGAACCAATGGGGCTGATTTTTATAGTAAATTTAATTGTCCACAAGATCTTCTAAGAGAAGTTTTTTTCGAAAAATATAGATTTTGTAGAATATCTACCAAGTGCACGCGTTTCGTATTAGGACATGTGTCAATACTTATTTATAAATCACTCAAATTGTTATCAATGTTATCGTATATAAATACTTGATTACCATCGTATTACTTTTATCGAAGCAGTTCGGTTGACGGCCTTCAACTAAAACCATCATGAAAATGAATCAAATTCGATTTGGTATAACTTACGGTAAAGTATGCTAAGTTCAGTTAAGCAGAGTCTGCTAGTTTATATTTTTAGATTACTACTGGAGGAATTATACAGGCATGATACCAAGAGACGCTATCGAAGGTGGTCGCGATGTAAATAATATGACGACATACATTGGCCAGGTGTCTGTGAAAAATCAGGGGGTCATTCCTGCTACAATATATCCTGGGAATACAACTGTCGTAGCGGTTGCACATGGTGTGCATCGTGTCAGTAGCTATATAAAGGTACATGAACAATTATCTTTTCTATCTAATAAAGTTTTGTTTGAAAAAATAAGTACCTTAGTAAAAAATTATAAGTAGGCCAATCAATAGAGCATTAAATCAGTGATTTTGTGACAAAAATACTAGTAGCCAATGGACTGTGCCATCATATAAAAACACTCTAATTTGCCATTAATTAATGTTTTATAAACATTTTTATGCAAAAAAAAATCGCAATTTCTTTAGTTTTTTTGCTTGTAAATCCTAAACTAAAGAAGCCATCTGAATGCTATAATGACACAGTTTGTAGAGAATCGAAATACGAATAAAACCAGAGGGCGATCGATCCAATCGGATAATTAGAAACGAAGAAAACCCGGAGAAATCTTAAAATTTAGCGTTTTTTTTTTTAAATTCATTACTCCACCATTTTTTAAATTGTAGAGCTGACTCTGTGCACAAAAGTAGTGAATCATATGTACTTTAAGTGTGAACGAAGCAGACGCTGCCGGGCCATTAGTTTTGGCACAATTGCAATTTGAATTTTTTGGTGTACAATTTTGCAACATTTCTGGATCCGTTGGAAGTAGTCCGATTTTAATTTTTCAGCCGAATTTTAGAAGTAGAAATATGACACTACAAAACCAATATTCTAATTTGCCGATAAAATAATGCGAAATAGGTGAAAAATTCCTCCAAACATGCCCAAAAACGGCCGAGCGCGCGTACACCGGCCGTCGAGTAGTGGGGGAAGATCGGAAGATGCTCTAAAAACTCCAACAGGTGCTATCCTCCTTGGTTTACTTATGAAATTATAAAAAACATTCAATTAAAAAATTCAGCCCACAAAAATTATAAGAAATATAAGTTAGATAGTTATTTGCAAACATTTAGAAATTTAAGAGCTTTAATTAAGGAACAAATTAAAATATCTTATTCCGTTTATGTTCGAGAAGTAGA